TAAACATTTTGATTTGAAGGTGCAAATAAGCTACAGGGTATTTTTATTCAGTTGAATAATCCTTTAGGATATTTATATACTGCGCAATTATGTTTTTATTGCCATTTTTGTATATATTTTCTTGTCTTACCACTTAGTATACAATATAACCTTCTTATAATGGCAAATCTTATTTTCTGTTTCACTGTTTAATCTATAGTCCCCCAGTAGCATATCGGTATGTCTGCTGATTTACAACGCTAAAAACCGGGTTTCGATACCAATGGTGGGCAGAACACAGATAGCCCATTGTGTAGCTTTGTGCTTAACTTCAAACAAATCGTTTACTATATATAATAAATATTTTCCCTTTTAATCAATTTAGAATAATGATTAGAACAAAGAAAAGATGCCAAAATTTGTGTAAATATTAATTCAAGGGTTAGCTATGTGATAAGTTTAAGAACTTCTGATAAAATACTTTTGTTTATTATTTAGTAATAATTTTACTTTTCGTAAGTCTCAGTGTGTTTCGTATGTGTTTAATGGAAAAAAAGTTGGTTAGTGACTAATACTTATAAATATAAAATTAAATGCTTGTCTGAACGTGATGACCATATGTCTGACTAAATATTATTGCTGAAAAGAGATATTATTAAGATAATGTGCTTTGGTCGCATGCAATCTAGAAAAGCTTGAAGTACTTCCAATTTTTTTTCTAATAGAATTTGCGAAAACAGAGTTAGTAAAAGCTATATATTCAACGAAATTCCAAAAAAGCAATATATTGTACAGGAGATGTATTTGTTACTTGAGTTTTTGTTTAGTTATGAAACCAAGTGTGAACTAGTATTAGTGTGCCCAGACTCTGAATCTTAATATTCATGGTTGGCGTCCTGGTTATCTTGCCTCTAAAACGCTATATAGATAAGATTTATTATCAAATCCCACTATACCTCAGACAAGATCAAGAGTTAGCGATGGGTGCTAATGGGTACCTGCTTTGCTTAAAGGACAGCTATGTGCTGATAGCCCTTATATATCTTTGCGCGAAAATTATAGAAAAACAAACAATGAATAACCAGTTTATTTACTAACTGTAATATATTTAAATTGAAATATGAAGGATGCATAAAAAATTCTACCTCTGAACTGTATATTTTTTTTCTTAAATTCGTTTTCTTGTTATATTTATTTACCGGTAATCTCTTCAATAGAATGCTTCACAACAAGTAATTGACATAAATATATAGAGATTTATTGTGCTTTATTAGAATGATGGAACAGGTACTGTATTGGCATTGGAACTTTTTCCTCCATCATTTATCGTGTTTAGTCTGACAGCCAAGATTAAGCACGAATGTTTGACACCGCAATTTTAATTATAACAAGATTCTGTGATGGATGACTAAGTCAATCAATTTTAAACCACACAAATGGACAAACTTTCCACATATCCTCCATGTTGTCTTCCAATACCACGTTTCAGTAGAAGGCACAAAAGCCTTTGAAACTGCATCGAAGGACCTGCTATGGATGTGACCTAGTGATATATTGTTGGGATTCCAGTTTCTTTAGCCATCTTTCTTATAAAATCAGATGCTAATTTAGAGTTGTGACTAAAAGCTTGCAAACGTTCGGATCGTGAGCTTTCATCAACTTTAACTCCTCGTTTATTATCTTGTTAACGGTAACATAAAATAGGTCTAAATTCATTACAATTAGTTTATGGGTCGAAAGGTTCTTTTTTATTATAATACCTTTCAATTTGCAAATAAAAACATTTCTTCAATTGGCTTGATATCTGATTTTTTAACTCATTGCTATCCCAAGTGTTTCACAACACGAGATTTTTCACTTGGGTAGAGAAATATGAAGGTTCCTTTCTTCAAAATGCTGTGTTGTTTGACTTTATATAATTTAACAATCTCGGTTTACGAATATCTTTCCTCAGAAGGACTGGGACATATCATTTCAGATATAAGGCTCTTTGTGGCGGTATTGATTGTCGAAAGACCAGAAATTATCCAAGAATAAAATATACAGGTGCTACGTATGTTGCCAATGGAGCCATAACAATCTCAAAAACAAATGTTTAAAATACAGTGAACCTTCTGTAGAAATATTTAAATACGATATGCGACTGACGACGAGGAAATATTTTACTCTACATAAGTCATTCGTTTTATTACTACGATCTTTTGTCGAACGCTCCACCAACTGAATAGCCGACAGCTCACACTCATAAAACAATCATGCAAGAAGGAAGATCCACAATTTTTACTTTATTGTAAAAATACTTTAAATAATATGTGTGGATTCAAGTGAAACATTTATCGAAAATAATCAATATTTGTGACATATTTATGCTTTAAAGTTTAATTTCATTACAAATTTTACCATAGAAATATTATTCTTATTGAAAGAAATATTAGGTCGTCAAGAAATTAATGTCGCGTTTTGGAACACTTTCATTAACCACCCCCCAAAAAAACGAACATCACGTACAATAGTTAAACGAACCGCCTAAACGTCACGTTAGTGTAGCCTAAATAATGTGTAAAGTTTAGTATACTCTAATCCCGTATAGTGATGGTATACGACGAGACAGACACACACATTGGCATGTAATGCTGTTCGAATACAAGAAGGGAAACAACGCCTCTGTAGTCTCAAAGAATATCAAAGAAGTTTATGGAAATGTTTAGAACGTTCGTAAGTGTCAACGATGGTTCAGGTGACTTTAGCCTTAAAAACTGTGATGGAAGAGGCCGTCATGTTGGAATTGATATCGATGCTCTGTAGACGCTTGTTGAGTCTAACTTAAGGCAACACACTCGTGAAATGCCCCTAAAATTGCATGTCTTTCATGAAACAATACGTAAACAGCTAAGGAATATGGGAAAACTCCTTAAAGAAGGTGTTTGGATGCCTCACGAACTCTCCGATGATCATCGTTTCCAACGTGTAAACGTTGCTTCGTCTCTTCTGGCGCCTAATGCGCGTGAACCAATTTTGGACAGAATTATCACCGGTGATGAAAATGGATTTTCTTGCGAATATTAAACACCAAAAACAGTGGCTCAGTTCTAGATAAAAACCACTTCCGACCCCAAAACCTGGACTCCATCCGCAGAAAGTGATCCTTTGCGTTTGGTGAGACATCAAAGGAGTAATTCATT